TTGCCAAGCAGGAGTTTGAACCCAGGTCTCCAAAGGCTTAATTGGACACTTTATACAATTTTAATAAAGAAAGCTGATAGAGAGAACAAAGAAGAATGATATTCCAGAATGCAAAAAGGCAGTCTAAACAGTCATCAAATTGTAGGGAACTGACACATCCAATAAAAAACCAAAGGATACAGGGAGAAACAGTCTCAGGATGTCTGAGGTAAATAACAATATATTGTGTCTTTATTAAATGGTGAAAAGCTTTGAAAACTTTCTTGCTTAACGCATTTCGGCAGGTGATGAAAAGCTTTGAAAATTTTCTTGCTTTCCAACGTGTTTCAGCACGACCTTCCTCAGAAGCAAAATCTTTATATTTCTCTGATCTGTATCAGCTCCAAAGCTTGGAACCAAAATCTTTACATTTCTCTGATCTGTATCAGCTCCAAAGCTGATACAGATTCCTGATTAGCTTTGGAGCTGATACAGACCAGAGAAATATAAAGATTTTGCTTCTGATGAAGGCCGTGCTGAAACACGTTAGAAAGCAAGAAAGTTTTCAAAGCTTTTCATCACTTAATAAAGGCAAAACATATTGTTATTTACCCCAGACTTTCTGAGACTGTTTCTCCCTGTATCCTTTGTCTAAATAGTCTAGCAAGTTTTCCCCCATTTCCTTACAGCTCTGCAAAATGGCTGGCAGTGTCACATGATGTCTGATCACTCCCTACTGCCTTACCGGTTGGAGTATCAAGTGAAACACTTGGGATACCACTCCACATCTCATATGGTGCCAACAGCTCTGCCTACTATATTTCTTCTGGTTTCCTCTTTGGTCAGTTCAAATCACTGACCATTTTTTAAAACTCTGTGGCTGAAATTCAGTAGTCAGTTGCAACCAGAGTAGCCCACTGAATCAGTGGCTCCACATCTCATTTGGTGCCAACAGCTCTGTCTACTATATTTCTTCTGGTTTCCTCTTTTGTCAGTTCAAAGCACTGACCATTTTTTAAACTCTGTGGCTGAAATTCAGTAGTCATTTGCAACCAGAGTAGCCCACTGAATCAGTGGGGATTTGGTGAGTCAACAGTTATTTAAATTGCATTGATTCAAGGGCCCTACTTTAGTTGTGACTTACTGGCAGATTTTAGCCTACGATTGCCAGATGGAATATAGAAATTTATTGCTCTACCCGTCCCTCCCACCACCCCAGTTAAACAGGAGCTCCTTCTTCCACTCCACATTTGCTTGGGAATTGCATAAATATCTCCGCTTTGCTCTGTTTTTGCACATTTGTCCAAAGACAGTGCACATCCCTGGCAGACATTTTAAATGCACTATTAGTGTGCAGGCAGATCACATGTTCAGAATGAGATGGAAAGACTTACTTCCAGACAGACTCCTAAAGGTTTGTAGCCTCGGCCACAAATTCTTGGCAGAAAGGGGGTGCCCTCTGCTCCAAATCCTATTTGTGGCATTCTCCAGACCAGTGGAGAATTCTGCAAAATTTATTGTAATTCTCTGCCAGCTCTGACTCTGCTTTCATCTGCAAGGTAATGACCTAATTTGTCCTTCAAAGTGGAAAGGAGGTAGCAGCTGGTAAAACACTGCTTGTGTGGGTAGAATTGTATCAGGGGCCTGCTTGAGGATGACTGCACCTGCCTTGATTCTGTTTGCAATAGCTTAAACAAAGGTGTGCACACAGCTGAGTAGCTCTGCTCAGATTCTTGTTGTTTTCCTCTGTTGACAGCATATCCATCCCAGCCAAATTCTTCATTCAAAACTAAGTGGAAACTGGCCATTTCCCTAGTGTAAAGAACACAGTGGGCTACATTTACAATTTGTAGGTGTTGCCTTTTTTCCTCTTCTGTTGCTTCTCAAGGAGTGAGGGTAGCAAGGACAAGCATAGGAGGCAAGATGGGTCCTAGCGATGTGAAAAATCTCTCACTAAAATCCTTGTGTTTGTTGATTTAGGCTCACTTGACACAACAAGACATCTCAGTGAAGAACATACAATTCCTGCAGGTTTCATTGCCTCCAGTGCAGGAATGAGACAATGAATGCTTTTTCCCTTGAGGTTCCTGCAGTAATGTACAAAATGTTTCTGCTTCTCCTGTCCACTAGTTTTTGCCAAATGTTGAATTCAAAAGCTTTTTTTTTCCTGACTCAGGTATGTCCCAGATCAAATTGCTAACCTGCTGGGGGCAGTCTTGGGATCTACCACAAAGATTCAGCATGCAAAAAGGACACTCACATAACATGTACAAGAAGTTCAGAAGGACTGGCTGATTAATCAAAAAGACCCAGACAACCCATTGGATGCTTCTGACTCTTAAAAGTTGATGCAACAATATAGCAGCTAGCACAGTTTTATTCTATTTGCATTATTTGAAATGAATAAGGCTTGCTGGTTGATTTCTGTGGGTCTACTATTGGCGAAACTAACGCTAAATGCAATTTTCTAACTTCTAACCATGTGCCATCAACACAATTCTGATTTAGGGCAACCCTTTTCAGGGTTTCCTGGGCAGAATGTCCTCAGAACTGGTTCCTCATTCCCTTCTTCTGGGGACACTGGGAGTGTTCAGCTTGCCTATGGCCACACAGGATGACTCTTCTCCCTGGAGGCACAGTGGGGATTCAAAATCTCAACCTTTGACTCCGCAGTCAGTTACCTAAACCACTGAGCCTTCCTAGTTTTATTCATGAGAGGAACTTGTGTATAAGAATATGCTGCATTTTTTCACTAAGGTTAGACCTGCACTAAGAGTGACCAGAACTGACACCATGATTCTCACAAAGAGGCGCTAGTGTTTCTGTTTTCCTCTGAGTAAAAACAAAATTTAAAAAATCCTTCAGTTACATACACCATTGTTTCTTTCTTGTCAGCATACATAAAAATCATGGAGGAATTCCACACATTGGTCTGAGTCTCATTTTTGTGGAGAACTAAGTTAACGATGTAAGCAGTGTCCCATGATAAAAATAGGACATTTCCTCAGGGCAAACAAAGGATCTAGATCAACAGCGCTGGGTATTTATTTTCTTCAAAGAAATTTACAGAGATATCTCCATTTGGTTGAATATTTGAGACCTGATGTGGAAAATAATTTCATGATCAGGAACTTGCATGGGTGCTTCTGTGTTGTTTCCAGAATAATGTAGCCATGGCAACATTATCTGATGTATCCCTCGCCATCAAGCAAATAATAAATCATATTGTTTTGCTTTGTTTTTAATGTAACTATCCATACTTTCCATTCCAAAAGGAAGTATATTGAAACATAACCCGTAAGAGAAGTCACTAGATGTTGGCTGAGGCTGTATTGGAGAACTGAAGATGTCTGTGTAAAAGGTCCTTGCAGTGTAAAAGAGCTCTGGCCAGTGTTAGCCTAGAATTCCCAACCAGATCTTTTTGATTTATGCCGGACTACAATTCCTATCACTTTATAGAAGTATGTCCAGTGGATAATAGGAAGTTCAGACATATTTAGATAACAATGTAAGCAATGTTGTAATTAAAAATAGGATGCTTCTTGGAATGACAAATTGTGTTGGGTAACATCCAGATGGACGGATTTTAACTTGTGGTCTTTGACGTCTGGAGAATGTCAGATTGAAGAAGGGTGGTGTAAACCAAGGTCCCCAACCCCTGGTCTGTGGCCCGGTGCTGGTCCATGGGCTTTGCAGGACCGGATCGTGGAGACAGATCTCCCGCCATCCCCGCACACACACATGGTGGGTGTGGCGTGCTCACACACATGCACGTTTGCGGGTGGGCAGGTTGCATTCATGGGCGGGCGTGGTGTACTCGTGCACCTCACTCACCCACTAATGTTCCACACCCACCCATGAACATGCCATGCACCTCCCTGCACATGGACCCTACCCACCAAACGGTCCATGGTTCTGAAAAGGTTGGGGACCACTGGTGTAAACGATAGCAAATTAAATTATCCAGTGGGGGGGGTGAAGTATAAGGCAGTTTTATGTGCTTGAGTTAACAAAAAAGACAGCAGGTAAGCTTTAGGAATGTATGCACTCTTTTTCCAGAAATACCCACTCTTCATTTAATTTTATTTGTTTAAAATATTTTTCACTCATTTTTGTCCTTAAAAGGACCCAAGTCAGGTAAACCTTCTAAACTCTTGAAAGAGAAACAAGCATGAGCTTGATGAATCATGGCAAGAAAGATGTAGTACATTTTCACCTATATCCATGTAACTACAAATGACCCAATAATATGCTGAAGAAAGCTTGTTTCAATATGTACAGTCTAACCAATGAGAGCCTTCTGTTTGCATGACACAGGCAGAAGAGAGAAGCATAGTGAACATGAGAGACAAAAGCAAGAAAAGGTCCAAGTGTGATGAAACAGGGAGATGAACAGGCATCAGGAGTAACTTGGATTCAGATTCTCCCTCAGCCATGAAACTACTTGACTAACCTTGTGTTAATTTTGTATAATTTAGACTACCTCAGAGTGTTGTGAATTTAAGTTGTGTGTGTGTGTCTGTGTGTGTCTGTGTTTGTGTCTGTGTGTGTTTGCGCGCGTGCATACATGCACATGTTTCCCCGAGCTTCTTACAGGCAGTGGTATAAATAAATAACACATTAGTGATCCTTCCGCTCAATTTCTTTGCAATTTTTCTTCAAGCAACTGAGTTTTTGAATTTTATTCCACACATGCACAGATGGCAGTCAGTTCTGAAGCAAATGTAAAGGTGCTGAGAAATGAAATATGCTGTGCTGCTGCCTGGTGAAGAGAGTAATTTCCATTTAGTGCCGTCTTACTGGAGCATGTTGTCTCTCCAGCATATCTGACACACTGATCGGTACGCGTGGCAGTTTTCTCTAACCTTATATGGATATACACTGTGCACCCTGCACTGTGATATTAATCTGACAGAAATGAAAAAATAATCATATTATTATTAATAAAAACAAGTTGGAAAACACGTTGAGAATGTAATCAGGTAGCACATGTGTGCTAAATCTCTTACTTTCTCTCACAGGTTTATCCATCATGTTGGAGCTAACTGGAAGGAGTCACCGTGCCAATATAGAAGTGTAAACACCAACCATCTTGCCATATCTTCTTCTTGGATATCGACAACAGTGTTAAAAGAGCAGCAGAGTTGAGGGATGGGCTTCACGCACAAGGACTCTCTTGCTTTTCGCATCTCTGGGATTGGTCTCTGGTCAGGCTGCTGAGGCACAAACCGCACTATTCGGGGCTTTTTCCCACCTGAGCAAGGTCACCTTGTGCCCCTAATTCAATTCTACTTGGCAAATTACTCCTTTTCCCCTTCCCCTCTTTGCACCCACTTTCTCTTCGTGCCTGTGTGTGCATTTTCCTCACCTTCTTTCCCAGCTAATTTGATTTGGTATCTGAGTGGGGAAGACAGAGGCCTCCTAATGTCGATGTAAACCATGTCAAGGCCAATGGGACTCTTATGGCTGCCTTTGATCTTTACACCTGTTTGTGTCATGTTGAATTCTAATTTCCTCCTGTGGATAACTGCTCTAGCGATTCGGTTCACGCTGATCGATGGGCAAGCACAATATCCCGTTGTCACCACGAATTATGGCAAAATCCGTGGGGTTCGAACACCCTTGCCTAACGAAATCCTGGGTCCTGTGGAACAATACTTGGGAGTCCCTTATGCCTCTCCTCCAACAGGAGAGCGACGTTTCCAGCCTCCAGAGCCTCCTTCTTCTTGGACTGGAATACGGAATGCCACACAGTTTGCTGCTGTCTGCCCTCAATATCTGGATGAGAGATCGCTGCTCAATGACATGCTACCCGTTTGGTTTACTGCCAACTTGGATACTGTGATGACATATGTGCAAGATCAAAATGAAGACTGCCTTTACCTGAATATCTACGTGCCCACTGAGGATGGTAAGTATATTATTTGGCCTTGAGCTGGCCAACTAGCCTGCTTGCCAGAATGTAGTGAGACTAGGTATCTACTGTAGGCAATGGGACATCACCTTGTGTCAGGGTAGAGCAGTAAAAATTCTTCTTGATTCTCAGTGATTAAAATGTGATTTAAAACAATATGGTTTTTGCATTAGGGCTATTGTGTAGCAGGAGATTTGCTACCAGAATCCATTTCTCTTTTCAGAGGGAGGCCATATTCACATTAATTCCCATTACAAGGATTGTTCATAGAGGAAAAGTCAACCAAACAGTCAACAAGGGAACAAACAACCCAAAGCTTTGAAACACCCAAATAATGAGAAACAATTTCATTTTACCATATTCAATTGTTCCAAATATGGGTGGACTTTATAGATCTTCCAACAGGAGTATGTATATATAATCTTATTCAGTGGAAGGTTTTCAAAAATTAATTAATTTTGTCAGAACCAGCTGTACTTTAACTTGCTTTTTAGATCTTTTAATATGCATTTTTGCAGCGCAAAAATCTTATGCTTTTTGGAATGGTCACTATTTACCGTATTTTTCGCTCCATAAGACGCACAGACTTTCCACCCCCCTGTTTTGTGGGAAAAAAGTGCGTCTTATGGTGCGAAAAATACGGTAATTAATATTGTATGCCATTCTTCATCCTGGTGGTTAATTAATAGCAGTGACAAAGTAAACAAAAATTACCATCATTTGATTCCAATACAAATGTTCCCCTGTAATAGTTGCTCTGGCGATCTGTTCACACATTTTATTGCAATTTCTTGTTCTAGCGGCATGCCTTTTTCCAGTCTCCATAACATTTTAAATTATCTTTTTTCTGTAATATATTCATCTGGTGCTTTGCTCTGTTTTTCTCCATTGAGATATTGATTTCTGAACTGAAGATAATGTCTAATAAGGTAAATAACTTGATGGCTGTACTTCACAGAATAATGGAGAATTATGCCCTGAATGATATTGGTGAATGACTCACAGCAGACTATTTTTGGTTAGCTTCTGATTAATAGAACATTCTAATCTGTCTCAGTCCAGATATATTATGTAGGCAAGCAAGACTGATGATCAGAAGTGCTTCGTTTTAAATGGCTAGGTGCTGAAATGTGGGGTAATCTGATTGCTTTTCCTTTTTGGGTTCAAAATACCATTGTTTACCATCTGCATTATTGTTGGTTTACTAATTTCTCATTCCACATGTGGAAATTTAGTGTGGAAATTTAATAAATTAACAACAGCAGCAGTAACAACATAAAAGATGTATACAAGACAGGTTGTGCTCCCTCACCATGCTGAAGTGGACAGTGCCATAATTTCCTCTGGGCTACCACCTCCTGTTTCTCCTGATGCACTGGAGAAACAGTTACAGTATTTGCTTAAAGAGGAGATCCTCCTTTAATTCATACACTCAATGGCTTGCTCTTCCACAACCCTTCTGCTTGCTCAGTTTCATGCTTGTTCTGGGAGCAACTTGTGTGCTAGGGAGCTTGTGATACCTGGACCACTGGTAACTTCAGAGCAATGTCAAGGAAAACTTTGGTTTAAAGTGAATTATCTGGCCATATTGGAGCAAGCCTCTCCAGATGTTGGACTGCATCTTCCATCAGACCTAGCCAACATGACCAGTGGTGAAGGGTTACTGAAGTTGCAGTCCCAAAACATGAGCAGGAGCCCCTGTTGTCCACAAATGCTGCACCATACTGAGTGCTGAAAGAGGTTTAGATATATAAATATTATTTTTAGAAAGGGTATCAACATATTTGGTCCTATAGATTTTATTCTGAACTTAATACACCACAACTTCAAGACATTTTCTGTTTGGAAACCACATGATTTAGGTAAATGCCTTGCTATAACTCATAGCTGGCTCATCTCTATAGTGGTGTGTATGTGATGCTCTCCTTCAATTTAGGGGTGAGGTAACCACTGATTCAATATGTCTCATCGTGCCTATTTACAAAACAAGTGATTTCTACTTGAATAGGAGCAAACATTAAGCCAGGAGAAGGAAAGATTTAAAAAGTGGTATTGAAACTGATAAAACTGATATTTGGATACTTCTTTTTTTTCATTTATTTGCCTTGCAATGGGTTGGTGAGAGATTTATTCATTCTTAGTAACTTGATATCTCTGAGCTAAGCTCTTTTGAAAGGTAATAAACATGGCCTGCTATGCTTCCATTTTAAAGAGCTGCATGCTAATTCAAGAGATTAATTCAAATAACTACGGCATCAGTATACTGAAAGCATACAGTATAACACCAACCGCTTCTCTTTTTTGTGTGTACACCTATTCCTGATGAAAATGCCCTGAATTGCATAATTGCATAATGCTCTTCTAACTGAGTTAATAGAAATCTTTCCCCCCTCCCTTCCATATCATACTTTGAATGATGACTACATTGTTGGAATAATTGCATTTACTTAGGTAACCAACAGAGGGCTCTTAAAACGTGGATGTTCAGATAGTGCCTGGGAAATGTGGAAGGCTTTCTATGCCAATGATTTCCAAAGTTGCAGTAGAAATCCCTTTCTTGTAGTTTGAGGTTGTAGTTCTCTTTCTTTGGCTAGGGCATAACAGAGACATTAATGGAAGGGGCTGCTGGCTATTTGCTTTGTGAGTTTCTTTGAACTGCTGACTAAGTTGTAATTCATTCTGTACCACATTCAGCACACATAGGGGGACAAGTGCTACTGGAGAAGCCTTAAGAATAAGACTTGTAGGAAGAGGATGAACTGCTGATAAGCAGATAAATGATGTAAAAGCTTTCAGTCTGGGCGTGTTTTGGACTAGGAACATGTCTTATGTACAGTACGCTACAGTTTAATTGCCTTTCTGCTGTGATTTATGCTTCCATGTCTTGCAATATTCTTGGAACACAAACGATATCCAATTTATTTCCTCCTTTATTTATTTATTAGCAGTGAAAATTTCTTTTGTTTCAGTCTGGGTAGATTAATATGAGATCAGTATGATTTTGGTTTTGATGTCCTTCTTGGCCTGTCTTGCCTAATTAAGTCTGATCTTTTAAGCCAGTGGTTCTCAAACATTTCGGACTCATGGCTCCCTTGATCAGCTGGCCACTGGCCACGGCTCCCATTGCTTGGAGGGGCCATCAGGGGTCTCACTTCCACCAGGGGGAGGATCTTGATACCCCTCCCCAGCCATGCCATCTTCCTGCTCTTGAATATCACTGAGGGGCCACCTCCTTCCAGGTTCTGACACAAGAAACTCATAAGCCCATATGCAAGCACCTCCACCAGGAACCATAGAGATGGGGCAAGGAGAGGCAGGCACATGGCCTTCACTTCCGGATCCTGTTTAACATAGAGTTATGACCGGTTCCTTTATATAGAGCTATGAACAGCTCATCTATCGCCTTCATGGGTCTATGTTGTGTCCCTTTCCCTGGCTCAGATCCCTGTTTTAAGCAATATCTGTGCATCTAGAAGCTATGATAGTCACATTCAGCTGGAATGCCCTCTTGAGAAGGATCTTTAGGATGTGGGGGAACCCCATAAACAGAAGGGATAGTTAAGTACCTGGCATCAGATAATACATCCAAGACTTTGTGGCTCACATTCAAGACCTTGCTCTGCTATTCCTCCAAAATGAGAAATTAGAGAACTTCTGAGGAAGTAAACATGAAAAACAATTACATCTGTCTCCAAATATAAAACACGGGTACATCCAGCTAATAGCAAGAAATCAAACAACTTCTTAGCCTCATCAAAGTGAATGTGGAAGTTTCAGTGGAGTCATCTCTTCTTCAGCTGGTCTCTGACTATACTCTCTTCATCCTCTTTGTATATATATATTGTATTTAACAATAAAATGAAAACACACAAACACCCAAGTCTGGTCTTTTGAACCAGCAGATTAAGAGCAAAGGTGACATTGTAGGAGAAGACACTGGCATTGTTTTGTTCTTTATGTAGTCTACGTCTTTTGATTTTTGACATCTTCAGTTATTTTGGAATGTGTATCTCTTTTATCTTGCAATTAAGCACACACAAACAGCAGATGTCTTTTCTGGGGATCAGTCATTCTGTATCGAAATGACATGGCCAGTTTTCCATTTCCATTTACAGTGTCTTGCTTTGGAGACTTGCCTGAGTTTCAGTTTATAAGGTGATGTCCTCTATATGTCACAGCTCAGTAGAACCCCCTCCCCCACTGTCATAATCTACTTTATCATTTTCACCTCAGTTGACTCAGGATTTAGTGTCCCTCTATGCCTAATTCTAGGCACCAAATGCTTAGTCACTGTACCCTGAAGCAGAATACAAGACAAATCATTTATGTTAACAATCTGGAGTATAAAAATACTAGTAAAGTTCAAAATGAATTTTTAAAAAATAAGAATAATACAAATAATTAACACATTTAGGATGCCCTGTCAAAAAGGTTGAGGGTTTGAAAGTGGAATGCATCAGCCATCAGCTTGTTAGGTATATTTTGGTTTTCGGCTCTCCTGTTGCTAATGATTTCAGAGTAGTAGCTCATGTACTCTTCTTGTGACTTCAACCTTACTGCAGCTTGTGATAGGAAGTCACAACTTTGTGTTTGGAAGCCCTGAGCCAAGAGTCTTTATGACAGGAATTTGTTCTGGAAGTCATCAGTTCATAGGGTCACCATGTAAGAAAGAACTTGATGGCCCATATGAACGATAACAGATTGTAAGGTTTGTTGGGCTGAAAGATGGTAGTTCAGTTTCATGACATTGATGTAAAACCCGGAGGTGGGAGTGATCCCAACCTCCCCTCCTTTATTTTGCTGCAGTTCTGAGCAAGAAATCATAAGCTTTGTTTCTACTTTTAGACAAACCATGGTTCACATTATGAAAACACTTGTTGTTGTTTAGTTGTTTAGTCGTGTCCGGCTCTTCGTGACCCCATGGACCAGAGCACACCAGGCCCTCCTGTCTTCCACTGCCTCCCGGAGTTGGGTCAAATTCATGTTGGTAGCTTCGG